GCCTTGCTTGTTCAGGCGAATTGTGCTCTGCACCCACGCATATATGTCGTACAGGAAATTGCGGGGAGAGTTCGACGCATCACGCGATGGTGTATAGCTGGCGCGGAGAAGGGGACCATGAAAAGGAAGGAGTTGCAAAAGGAGGAGGGAATTTATTGGGATATTTCTTTTTTTTTTTTTTTTAAATCATCCTTACGATTTCCCTTCCCCGTCCGAATAGGCACACATTTCTCCACTGCACACAACACATATAAACTGCACTGTGTCACCGCGTTACCTTCTGACCTGTAGGACTTGACACATACGCCCCGTATCAATTGTACTTCCCATTTCACACACCAGTTGGACAAGATGCCAAAAATATCCATGGTAGGAAGCGGACAGATTGGAGCCATCGTGGGCCAACTGATCTTGATGGAAAACATTGGAGACATTGTTCTTTACGACGTAGTGGATGGTGTTCCCCAAGGGAAGAGTCTGGATTTGAAACACTTCAGTACCATCGTAGGGGTGAACAGAAAAATACTGGGTACCAATAACATAGAGGACATCAAAGATTCCGATGTCCTTGTGATAACGGCAGGTATCCAGAGGAAAGAAGGGATGACCAGAGAAGATTTAATCGGAATCAATGGAAAAATTATGAAGAGTGTCGCTGAGTCAGTGAAGTTACACAGCCCAAATGCCTTCGTCATATGTGTTAGTAATCCCCTTGATATTATGGTAAATGTTTTTCAAAAATATAGTGGACTTCCGCATGAACAGATTTGCGGGATGGCTGGCATTTTGGACACCTCTCGTTTTAGGTCTCTCTTGGCAGAAAAGCTAAACGTGGCTCCGGAGAATGTCAGTCAGGTGCTGTTGGGAGGACATGGAGATCTGATGATCCCTTTGGAGAGGTTCTGTTCCGTCTCAGGCATCCCTTTATCAGAGTTTGTAAAAAAGGGCCTCATATCGAATGAGGAAATTAATCACATTATTAAAAAGACCAGAGATATGGGTGCAGAAATTATTAAGCTGTCTAAATCGTCTGCCGTTTTCTCTCCAGCTGCTGCCATCGTGAAGATGATTAAATCGTATCTCTACAATGAGAGTCAGTTGTACACTTGTGCCGTTTACCTGAATGGTCTTTACAACTGCTCCGATCTGTATGTTGGCTCCACGGCCATAATCAATAGCAGAGGTGCCAGGCCACTGGAATTCTCGCTCACTCAGGAGGAGAAGGAGCTCTACGACAAGTCCATTGCCTTCGTCCGCGAGCACACGCAGAAGGCCTTCGCGCTCATCAACTGACGGGGCAGAACTCATCCGTGCAGTTGTTAGCGGCAATTCATCAATGCACTTGTCAGCGGCAACTCATCGGTGCACTGGTTAGGGGCAACTCATCGGTGCACTGGTTAGCGATAACTCATCAGTGCACTTCTCAGCGGCAACGCATCGGTGCTTCCTTTCCGGTGCTCCTCTACACTAAGTGTGCGAAAGTCTACATGTGTAGATAGATTCTCCTTCATAGGAAGTGAAGCAGCTGAAGATCGGCCCCCTGCCGCTCCTCCCCCCCACACGCGGCGCATTAAGGTCTCAGGCTACCGCACCCGACGAAGGGATGCGATAGGCACTACGCTGTAAGTTTACTTCATTTTTCCCCCCGCTTGATCTGGTATTTCTTTTTTTTTTTTTTTCGCATATCACGTTTACGTCATGATAATAGGAAAAAAAAACACCACAAAAAATGACACAAAACGTGGAGTTGCAAGACGACACACATTACACCACGCGGGGAAAAAAAAAAAAAAAACATCTCGCATGAACGCGCTTTTCAAAATGAACGATACCAAATAGAAAGGGAGGTTGAGCTAAGAAAAATAGACGTATGCCGTGCACGTCTCCCCTTCGACACCTAACACTTGGCCACGATCAGACTGATCAGGGTCGAACTCAGGAGTAGAATCAGCAAAACGGCCAGGGTAAGTTTCACTTTCTTCTCTTGCCTGTAAAACGTGTACCGAAAAAATTGGGTAGTCATTATTCAAGCGGGTAATGATAATAAGATTCCATCGTTCCTACCAACTTGTGGTGACAGCTGCATATTTTGCCGCCATTCGTCCACCTGGCACAGCCGACCTCGGTGCCCTGCGTTGGCTACTCCTTTTTGCTTACCCGTGGAAGGTCCCCTTTCTAGTGAAGTACGGATAGCAGAATCCACCAAAAATCGCCCCCAAGTTTCCCACAATATTTCCTGCAAGTGAGGATAACGAAGCGAGGTGAATCGGGGACACCCAAATGAAACGGCACCGCAAAATGGTGGGAAAAAAAAACAACTTCTTAACACCCCAATGGACAACGCATGCACTTCCCCCCCTCTCCCTTGTCCTTACCATTAAAGGGAAAAATCGATATGGTCAAATAAAGGGATAGCACTGCAAATCTGAGGAGTTAAAAAAAAAAATGGAAGGGTACACACCTCAGGGGTTGAGCTAGCCAAAATGTGAAGAGCACAAAACGGCTAGTCCACTTCTTGCTCGGCGAAACTGCCATAGGCACACACCACCACTTACACATATTTCCGAATGACGCTACTTCTATCCGTCAGCTGCTTGTACCGCACAACAATTTCCTGCAGGAAGAGGCCCATGAATCCGGACAAAATTGTACTGATTCCCATGTGGACCTGAAAAAAAAAAAAAAAAAGGCAGTGTGTGGGAGGGGGTAACAAATTCAAGACGTATAAATGGGCACTCCCTCTGAGGGGAACTCCTTTTGGAAGATTAAAACGGGGAAAAGGCATATTTTGTCCTATTCATAGTAGTGACCGAATTGAGTCTCATCTTACATCGCCGCAATTGGAGGTAGCACAGAGGAGGAAGTTCCCACACAGAACACTTAGAAGCATTATTGCCATGTATCGTGCCTTCCCGTAGCTGCAAGGGAAAAGTGGGGGTGTATGAAGGGAGGGGTGCAGAATGGTAGGATGTGATGCCACGCACAAACTGCTAGATAACGCACCGCAATGCTGCTGCTTTGCGACGTCCTGTGCCCATCTTTTACCTCCTCTCGACGATGATCCCTATGTTCATCAAATAGTAGACATTGATCTGTAACGGGGTAGGATTGGGGAAAATAAATTTTGACTGACCACTTCGGGGTCTTTCACGCGCAGATGGGGAGATACACAGATAGGAAGATACACAGATGTGCTGATACGTCAGGATGGTCTTCTCAACCGAGCGCCCCTTTTTCCTTACTATTAAGTTCCAAACGCTGGAGTGGAAAAAGGTGGCCGTCAATAATTTGTAATACTGGTGGTTGTTCGTAACGGAGTTCCTGATCATGCCATATCGTTTCAGCACAGTTCTGCGGGTGGAGGAATGAGCGATCGGCCAGGTGAAGACAGTCACATACAAGGAAGCTAGCGGACAGAAAAAAAAAGGGAGGTCACTCTCCACCATTTGGCTACTAATGAGCAGTCTCTCCCCCTCGTGGACACGTTCGCTCTCCTTACTCGCTCAGATAGAGCGGGGACTGCCTGTCAAAGTTGCACACATTCAAAATGAAGAAGGTAAAAAATAGGAGCAGGGAAAAGGAGGTGGTGATGCTCTTCACAGTAAAGAATGGAAACAAAATCTGAATGAATGTGATGTCCTTCTTAAACGTCTTATTAAAAGACCTAGTATATCTGCACGTTAGCAGGTTCTCATCTCTGAACTTGTTGGCTTTAGAATTGTTGGAGTTAGGGAAGAGGGTCATTTTGTTTTATTTATTGAATGGGGTAATCTACTGCACATACTTTCTCGAAACGAGTTGGGAGCCTCCGACGTCAGAAGGGAGGGAGGAGGACAAGAAAAAGAAGGAGAAGAAGGACCAGAGAAACACCTCACGACAACACAGTTGCAACGGCACCTATAGCTGACGCGGATTCGATGGCAATACAAAAAATCGGTCAACTTCTCACGGGGTAGTCTTGTTTATCTCTAGGAGTATGACGGTATGCATATCTACATTCGTCCTTATATGGCCTACGCATGGGATTACTATCTTCCCGTTTCGAGCTCATCGGCTTGCAAACAACTGCCTTCAGGGTAATAGTTCCGGAGTGCTGGCCTCGCGGGGGTGGTGTTTAACTAGATTTGCCGGTGTTGTTACCTAGCTTCAGGGGCTACGTTTTGGCGTTCTTTTCTCACTGGGATTTGCCTAAACTGCGCAGTTTCACTTTATACAAAGAGCGTTTCTAAGTGGGAATCTCTAACACGTGTTAGCCTCCACGTCACTTCTGCATCGCTGCCCGGTTAATGTTATATCGCTGGTGCCTCCGCTTCTGCTACGTCCACTTCACCTGCTTCGCCCTAGTGCACCACTTTTTCCTACGCCCTCCAGAAAAGAAGCACCTACGGAATGGCATGCCCCCTGCTCGTTATAATTTGTAAAACTAAGGCGCAGACGTGTAAGGGAAAAAAATGCACAAGTGAATATTCTTTTTTTCTTTTTTTTTTTCCCTTCTCAGTTTCCTACACAAGCCGTGTTAATTTTGCTTGTGATTCGTATCACTCTGATGTGGGTAACTGTATCGCCAGCAGAGTGAACATAAAAGAGGCCCACGAAGCAGAGACCACCTTCCCGCATTCGTATCTATGGGGGGAAGGTGGTCGCCCTGATGGGGAAGAAAATTATCACGTCACAGAATAAGAAGCAGGAGGAAACTTCCTCGAAGTGGCCCTCATTCGCCGTTGCGAGATAGAGGACGCAGGAGAGGACAAGCACACCGAAGTGAAATATGCGAAAAAAAGAAGAAAGTTATGAACAGGTCAGGTCATTTTTGGAAAGGAAAATATCGAGTTAGCGTTAAGAAGCGCGGACGTGCGATCTGCTTCCGTTTGATCTGCTTCCATTCGATGGGCATTAAGAAGTTATGTACGCGCTTCTTTGTCCTCCCCCCAAAGTGTACACCTCGCCCCTGCAGGGAGGCCAAGTCGTTACGCATTTTCTCCTAACCCCAACGTAGGATGCGTAGTGTGCCCTCCACTCCACTTCCTTCTAATGTCTACACGCAGGTGGGTAGTTTTTGACGTCGATCAATGCACGAGAAAGAGAGCGTTCAGGAACGCCGCTACACAAAAGGCATCCCGCCGACTTGCGCACCGGGCACTCCCTCCCCTTTTCGAAAAAACATGCCGTTCTGGCCAGCCCAGCCACTTGCACCTCCCTATCAACGAAACACCTTCTGAAGCCACCAGAGAGGAACTATGAGTGAGGGGATGTTATCTAAGTCCAGCCTCCTCTTGTTGATATACGAAATTATAAAAGTGAATAATGATATTTTGCAGAACAGTGATTTCGACTTAAGCAGCGATGCCTCTGACGATGACGACATTAGCGGGGGATCAACAGAAAAGAGGTTACCCTACGGTACGGACGAGGCGGCGGTGGGTACCCCCCAGCGCGAGGAGGGCACTATTAGCGGACGGGTTCGCGAGCGTGGGGTGCGCAACGATGCCGTTTGTAACGGTGCGAATGGAAACCTGCTTGCAGATGGCGCCACATCTCCTAACGGGCATAAACCAAGCGGCAAAGGCAAGGACAGCCCCATGCACCCACCCCGCAGTGCCGAGGAGGAAAAGATATCGAACATTTTATCTGGGAAGTTAAAAGGCATGGGAAAAGACATCGGCAGGAAGCTCATCGAGAGAGTGCTCATTTACAGAAACGACTTTAGTGATCTTAAGGACATCGCCAAACTGATTGGAAGAGACGTGTGGTTAATTTTGTTCAATAAGAGTGTAGATAAAATACAAACCTACAAAAAAGGGGTGTATGTCCTTATCGACAACGACATGGGCACTTACCTAAACCATTTGCTTCTCGACAACAACACCAACCAGAAGGCAAACTTTACTCACTACGTGCTTGTATTAATACTTGGCATCATCAAAGGCATCCTGCAGCGGTTCCGTATGAAGGGTTCCGTCACCTACACCCTGGACTACCCCACTTGTACGACAATGCGAAAGAGGAAGAAAAGAGAGAAAAAAAAAAATGCATCCCGATCTCTATATTCCAAATCACACCCACCGTACTTTACACACTTATGCCAACCTCGTAGGACGAAGAAATCGATGTGTAAGCAAACGGGACAGAGATAAATCAGGAGAGACACGGGGGTGTAAAAATTACACTCGAAAAAAAAAAAAAAAAAAAAAAAAAAAACGGAGAAAGAGAGAGAGCCACGCTGACGTGTGATTCGTGGGGTCACCGCTTCGAACGAATTTTAAACCAAACCCACTTCGCAGAAGTAGAAGCAGCAGATGTTGCTTCAATCCATGTGGCCAATTTCGCACACTTATCCCTTCACTCCCCACCCCGTAGGCTCCTTCCAGATAAATATAATAGACGATTAGCAAGGCGGAATCCATCCCATCCGTAGAAGCAACGAATCGCATGCACAGATAGGTCTATGCGAATCATGTGAAGGGGCGCAGAGATGTGTGTACCTCCATGCCACTTACGTAACAGCGCAGGGTTATCTCCTTCTCTCGCTTCGCAAAGCGTCCGCTCAGCAGTGTGATGGGATTGCCCATTTGAGCCTCTCCCGTTATATTAGCCTCTAACCCGTTTGGCTCGTTACTGTTACGCGGCTGGTGTGGGTAAGCCTACTTTAACTGTCTACGTTGCAACCCCGTACCCCCTCGTGACAATAATCTTCCCACTGCGCTCATCGACGTACTCGTATTTGTTTAATCCGTGACACTTCCTTCCAAAAAGGAGGGTCTCCTTTTTTTCGGAAGAGTGCTTCAAATGGGTGGAGCCGTCGTGTGTATCCCCCAGTTGTGCTGCCATGTGGTCTGTCAAACTGTTTGGCGAGTCCATGTCACTACGACTGAACAACTTCTCTTCATCGATGTCGAGGAAAATTTGCTTCCTTTTCTTAAATGGCTCTTCGTAGTTCACTCTCGCGGGGTGATTTTTGTAGAGGCCTCTCTTTGCATTCTCTACTTTGGCGCACGAGGGGAAGATGTGATAGTCTCGATTCTTAATCGGGGGGCTGCTTTCCCTCTGTGGAGAAGGAAGCCTTCCCAGATTAGTAGCCTCCTCTCTGAACCGAACCAACTCGACTATCTTTTCCCTCTTCCCCTTCTCCGCTTCGCCAAGATGGTTCAAATTGTAGGAGCAAACCTCTTTGAGGAATCTCTGAACAAAATTGACCTTGTCCTCCATGGACTGGAGACCCATGTACGAGTGGACGTCCAGATGGAAGAGATCCACGTTAAGCAGAGCCATGTGTCGCTTCTTCATTTGCTGGAATCCATTGAGGCTGCACGAATTGCGCAGGAGTTTTCTCGGAAGGAGGAAGTCTACAAATAATTCGCGTAGTGCAGTCCCTTCCGTCCCTTCTGTCCCTCCTCCCCCAATGGAAATATCAAACACGTAGGGTTTTTTTCTCTTTAAAATTTCGAAGCGGTCTACACGCAGGTGCTTCAAGATAGCGGCCAACTCGTCGTGCAGTTTTCTCCACTCTTTGTCCTGCACAGAATGGAGGTTCTTTCTCAGGAAGGTATTAATGGAGAGGGGAAAGTGCTCCAAAAAGGAAGGTCTCTCGAGACAGAGGCAATAACCGATAGTTCCCAGCATCTGCCTCCTTTTCTTATTACACGTATTAGCAATCTTTATGTACTGCCTAAAGAACATCTCCATGAAAGGATAATCAAACGTCTGAGTTAATACCAATCCGTAGGTGAAGATAACTAACTGTTTCTCTGTGAAGGAGGGTAGTAACTCCTTCCCCTTTTCCACACACAGAAGGTAGAATTCCCCATTTTGATACTTCAGCTTGGCTAAGCTAAGCACGATGAGGCTTAGATTTATCGCGGAGATGTTATCCATCCTTCTTGTTACCACTTGGCACAGCTTGTTCAGCAAATCCTCGTCTGCGATTTTTAGCTTCCCCATGGTGTGAATCACGTTCGTGATGTTTACGTCGTTCAGGTTGTGCGGGTGCCTACAGTGGGGAGAAGCAGCAGGGGGGAAATTATCAAGGGTGGCGCTTCTCATAGGTGGCACTTCTCCGCGGGGCAGACTCGAGATCCCCAAGAGGGAAAGCCCACTCACACAGCAGGTTGATGCTGCTAATACCCCTCACGCAGATACCGTCGGAAAATCTCCAGGCAGGCCCCCACGAAGGACTCGTCGTAGTGCATGTTCCTCCCAAGTGAGTAAAAAGACAAAGAGACGGACAGCAGATCGAACGGCCTCTCGCGACCCTCAAAAAGGAGAGCCAGATGCTTATAGACACATTTGTAGTAGCGAAGGTCGAACTGAATGTCACTCAGAATGTGCAGATAAAGAGCGATAGACTTCACCTCCACATTTTTTATCTCCTTCTTTATGCGGTTATGAAAGGAGTAAAATATCTCAATGGGAACCAAGTTGAGTTTGTAGAAATTGTACAGAATCGATATTAAGATGGTTGGCTTTTCGCAGAAATGAGTCTTTCTCTTCTTCACGATGTGAATTATGCACCTGAGCAGCTTCAGGTAGGTATTCCTGTGCTCATCATAGGGGTCCTTTCCGCGGCGGCTCTTCAGCTGATTGGTGTGATTAGCCATGAGTTGGCTTCCCCTTTCACCCAAGGTGGGATGATCCCCACGAATAGCCTCCCTCTTCTGTGCATCACTGTGCCGATCCCTACTGCTTAACGGTGTTTCGTCTTCTGTAAGGCTTAGCTTACCCAACTTGGTCTCCTCTCCACGCCGCATGGCTGCCTTCCCATTCGAATATCCCACAATGTCGCTTTGGCGAATCTTCACATTGATTCTCCTCAAAAAGTGTAAAATGCAAAGCATGTCGAGATGGTTCAGCATGGAAGAATTCAGAAGAATATATTTGCACATATAGAGGACGTATTCATTAGGGGAGCAAAACATAGTGGAGTATGCATAGAGGATATAACTCAGAGTGCTGTTATTCAGCAAATTGGTAAATACATTTAGCATGTTTATTCGTCTTTCATTCCGACGCTGCTTGTTCGCCCTTTTTATTAACTCCACCGTCTGTTTGTAGTCGTCACTCGATTGGATATTCCTCTCCTCCGAGGAAACCAGTCTGGTCAATTTGTTCCTCTTGTATACTCTTATATTACTACACACAGCACGGAGGACGTTCTTAAAATAGGTGTACTTATTCAGGCGTAAGTGTTTGTAACTCATCGCCAAGGAAAGTAGAAGCGATGGGGATAATGACTCGGTTCCTATCTGTGTGTTGACCCTCTCCAATAAGTCCTGAATTAACTTTATCTGTTTCAGCACGTTATAAGTCACCTTCGATTTGGCTAAGTTTTGCAATTCGTATATATACTGGGACAGTTTCACAGCCCTCCTGTTTCTTTCCAATTCGTTTAGTCTCTTTAGACATAGAATGAGAGCCTGTTCGCTCTCCTTGTGGATGTAGCTTTTGGTGTAGGCCGAGAAAATTTTGTCGCTGTTGGGTCGCTGTGCGGGGGTCATCGGGTAGAGGACCACCTTCGTCAGGGCGCCTAGCGCGGGCGCGGGCTCAACCCCCCCTTCTGTGGCCAATTCTCTGAAGTGGGGACGCAGCCCACCCTGTGACAGCCGCATAAGTCTCCCATGGTTGTTCCTCTTCCCAACAAAGTCAATTCGTACTTTCCTCGTATGCATCTTCACCCCGGGGCGCATTATCTGTTAAGCGGCAACTTTCTCTTTCCACCCCCCATCTTGAGCCTTCCTCACTCACTTGTATGGTGTAGTATTTCTCTCTGTTCGTTCTCTTCGCCTGCTTCTTTTCTCATTTTGTAGTCTTGGTAATAACATTTATAGAGCGGATGAACCGGGCGGTGACAAAAAAAAAAAAGAAGAAAAAAAAAAAAAAAAGGCGTCCGTTCCACAACTGAAACACTCCACCAGAAGGAAAGCCACGCACCTAACGCCGCTACCCCAGAAAAAAGAGAAAAAAAAAAAAAAAAAAACACAAACCACATACGAAAGTTACCATCCGCTAGAACCCTACCTGTTTCTCTTTCTTTTCCCACTTGGCACAGTGCACACCTCGAAAAAAAGGACGAAGAGGCTCTCCGCGTTCAGGAAGTTAATGCCAGGGTGTGGAACAAAAAAATATGACCACGTGAAGCTGACTGGCGTTACTACATCTGGACCTGCAAAAAAAAGAAGAAGAAAAAAATCTACGCTCCCTGATTTTCTTCCCAACCTGTATGCACAATACATTTGTGCAGGTTAGAAGGCACCCATATGGGGGGAAGCACAATTAAAGCTTTTTTTTCTTTTTTTTTCTTTTTTTTTTCTTTTTTTTTTCAATTCGACAGCCATCCAGTGAGAATTAAATCACCTGCACATCGGTTAGTGCCCACACGCTCTCGCTTCCGAACGTCACACTTGTTGCGATGTGCAGATGATCGGATGTGAAAGGACAAGAGCAGGGGGTTATTCACAACAAGTGTAATAAGACTATAAGTGGCGAAGCGTCGTCTGAAGAGGGCGAAATTTTTCTTTCAATTCAGGAGACCCCTTTTCCTGTGCACCTGTCGAGTATGCCAAGAATTGGGCAGCTCCCCACGCATGGGCAGGTGCAACAGGGGAGGCGCCCTACCCAAGCGAGAAGGTTAAAGCGGGCATCCCAGTAAAGTTCAGCGACAACGTTGAGCGAAAAGGCTGAGTAACAACGCTGATCCTAAGGATGAGCGTAAGAGTGAGTCAGGAAAAGGGATCCCTTCCGCGGAGGAATTGCCTTAACATATTCTTTCCACAACAAGTGGAGTCGACTAAGGCCCATTTAAAGCACTACCTTTATGGTGTCCGCACCGACGACACATGCGTAGTGATCCACATTACACACAAGCAGGTAGGGAAAAGAAAAAAAAGGGAAAACACCTACATGTACGTACTTCATCCTGTCTAGTGGTAAAAATTGGAGTCCTCCCTTTTTTCAACCCTCGTGGAAATAATACATTGTTGACGCTATGTGGGAAGTTCTCCAGGGTACCCCCTCCCCCACACATCGTTTTCGCTCCTAATCAGTTAAACTCTCCCCACACACACATACACCACCGCTTTCCCTGCAGAATGGCAACTTTGCGAAGGGCCACCGGGAAGAGGTCCAAATACTGGGCGAGCTAATCTTCGCGCAGGACGCGAAAGACGTACACAGAAGGAGTAGTTTAAAAGGGCAAGAAGAAATCCCGTGTAACTATCTCTACGTGGCTCATTATAGAGGGAGACCCGTGCTCATAAGTGGACAAACAAAAGAGAGAAAAGATCAGAACGCCTTATTCATACTATATAATTTGAGCAAATACATTTATATCATTTCGGATGACCATGTGAGTAATCTCGTTTGGGAGGCACTTAGAAGAGACGGCATGTCGGCAAGGAAGGGAAGTGGGGAAAATGGGACAGAAGAGTGCCCCCTGGGGGAAGAGAAACAAATGGGGGGTGTCAAAATCAGGGGGGACAAAATCAGCTTTGATGATATCTGCAGGGGTAGCCACAACGAAAGGGAATCCCAGGAAGAGTCCCCTTCTGATAGGAGCCACCAAAACCGGGGTGTCGACAAGGACGGACAGGCTGAGGACACAAATCGAGTGGACCATCTGAACAGGCCAAATTGTAGCAGTGGGGGGGTAGGCGGCGCGACAGACGAGCAGCCACTCAACATGCACGAAATAATCATCCTATTGAACAAAAAAGACGCGTACGCAGAGAGGATAGAAAAGGGTGGAGGAGAAGAGAATCCTCCCGGCAGTGACGAAGACGACACCACCAACCGTAACGAGCGAAACGTGAGCTCTATACTTTTGGCCCTCTTATTCTTCACCTACCTCGTCTCATCAGTGAGCAAATCATTTTATTACCTCCTGTGTATAGTAGGCAAAATAAACGCGAGACTTTTTTCGAGAAATATAAAAAACACCCTCACTTTCTTCAAAGAAAGGTTGCACATGCACTCAGAATGGCATCCCCTGTTGACTAGTTTAATGAGAAGCAGACAGAGCCCATCCGATTATGCAAAATGCAGAGAGCTTCTCCTCATTCGGGTGTGTAATTTCGTCATAGATCTTATGTTGGGCTTCTTCCTCTTTATCGTACTCTCTCACGAAATAATCGACCTGCGCTTCGCCTTCAAGAAAGCAGGCGTCTTGTATGACTCCGGAACGTTGACGTAGGCACGCGAGTGGAGAAACGCAAAGAAATGTCGAGAGGTGCGGAGAAACCCTTTGCCGGATAGCCTTCTTATGGAATGCCAATCCGAGTTTGGTTATGCTTAGCAAACTGAGGATCGCCTTATCTTCCACGTATTTTACTTCTTCTACTTATTCTGCTCCTACTTCTTCCTCTCCTTCTCACTCTTCTTATTCTTCTTCTTCCCCCCCCCTCTTTCGGACAGGGCCATACTGGGAACGCTCCTGCAGAACCCTCTGGGGTTGAAGCTTAACAACAACTTCACCTCCTTCATTGGAAGTATAATCGTCTCCATCCTGGACAAGTGGTTCGTTGACCTCGTCGCTAAGTGACCCACCAAGGGTGGCTCCCGCGTAGTAATAGAAGCACCCAAGAGGATCTACACGAACTGACATTTCACCATGGGTAATTCCCATCCCGATCTATTCACCGCCGCTTCTCCACTGCCCCTTCACCTCAGGGATTATTTCAAAAATGTGTTTCCATTAAAGAGCTCCTCGGCTGTACATCTCCTAAAGCTATCATCCCTCTGCGGGGCTTCCTTTTTTCTCTCTTTCTTTATGGACTACCTGAAGCTGATCATTGCGCACGTAGGGAGATAGGGAATGGAGACAGCGTATGGGAGGGGGAGGCCGTCTCACCTATGCCGTCCGTTTCAATCGGGTCACCACTTATCCATTGGACTGCGCCGATTGTCTCGCCCCGCATCACCGCTCCACCCCCTTTCAGGTTACTCTAATTTTCGCCTTCCTGACGAAGATTCTCTCCATTTTTCACAGCAACATGTATTCTTTGTACCTCCTGTTTAAGTAAGTCTCCGGCTGTTACTCGTAGATAGTGGCTGATTGGCTAGTCCGCTTGTTCACATCGATCACTCCACGTGTTGCTAGACAGGAATACCACTGTAAGTCACAAGTGGAAACTCCTTTCTGCGTTCTTTCTCCATTCTATGTTCTTCTTTTTTTTTTCCTTTTCTTTTCCTTGCAGTGGGAAAAAATGGAACATTTTGAAACTGCGGGTTGATACAAATTACTACACCAATGAGGAGGTCATTCTGGGTTGGTACACCGAGGGGGAAAAAGGATCTTCGGGAAAGTAGTCATTCTGTTAAGGAGTGGAAAATACCGCCCAAACGGAGGAGAAAGAAGAAGACAGTATCACAGCTTACTCCTATGTGATTGCCCGCCCTTCCCCTTCTACCACAGGCACTGTCCTCTTCACCATCCTGATTTTCCTCTACCCAAGCGTTTTTGTGCTCTTTTTAGTTTTCGGGATTATTTACCTCGTCATCAGCAGTGAGTTGAAGCGGCGATGGGGTGGATGCCCCAGAAGGGGGGGGCTCTAGATAGAGACTACACCACCACACGCATAGACCCACATGTGCACATAATATATACACATCTGAACAGACGCTCCCCCTACTCCGCCCCTCTCAGGAATCATATATTGCCTCTCCCTGTTGAAGGAAATCATTCTGTACGCCCCCTTTTATATCCTCCTTTTGAGTGACTCCCAGAATGGCTACATCAGCAAGGGGATAAAGTTCACCGTGGGTAAGTTCAAGGAGAAGGGGGGACCCAAATGGTGCCGTTACGAACTGGCGCCCTTCAGGAGTGCCTCCTGCTCATTATGCCTTCTTCTCCCGCGTCAATCGGCCGGTCTCATCCATTTTTCTGTTCCTTCCCTTGCCTCTTCAGACAAGCCAATGGTATAAGCGGCACAAGCGATGCAAGCTGTGCGAGCGACCAATGACGCTTCTCCGATTTGCGAAGTTCTTCGGGTAGATTCTCCCCTTTGCGGAACCCATATCCTCCCGTGAGAATTGCCACTTTGACCCCCCGTCTGAGTTTTTCCCCTCCTTTTCTTCCACCCTTATTAGCATAACGTGGAATGGACAGAACTGCCCAAGTCGCACTACCTCCTCCTGGAAAACGCCAATTTTACATTTTTCGACAAGATGAAATTGTTTGGAGACATTTTCGTCAACCGGGAGGGTGCAAAGTGAAGTCATATGAGATGCGGGAATTAGCAGTGGGGGAGATAATTTAGAAGAATTTACTTTTTTTTTCGTTTTTTCAGTAGTCCTAACGCAATGGTTCCAATTCTCGTGGCGCAACCTGCACAGAGTTCTGCGTCTACGATGGACTGCGGAGGTGAAGGACACTTTTTCCTCTCCCAACCGGGCTCAAACAGGTTCCTCATACGAGCAGCGGAAAAGTGACCAAATGACACATTGATGAATTTAAAAAAAGTTAAGGGAAAAACAAAAGGGGGTGAAAAGGGGTACAAATGAGGTTCCACGCCCGGTCAAACTCAAGTGGTAGAATTTTACAGAGGGAGAAAAAAAGGAAAAAGAAGAAAAAAGAAAGAAAAAAAGAAAAAAGAAAAGACGGTTTACAGAAAAATGGACAAAGGGTGTACATACACAAACGGGATGGAAACACATCCGACTTTTCTTTTTCTTCTTTTTTTCTTCCTTTTTTCTTCTTCATTCTTTCCTCTTTTTTCAACTTTCCAGCTGTCCACATGGACTAAAACGTGTTGAGGTACTCCTCCAGATTCTTCTTATACTTATCGTTTATGTTTTGTATCCCTGATTTGAGTTCCTTCTGCAAAGGGGGGAGGAAAAGGGAAGAGTCCGGAAAAAGCCAAAGTGAGGAAAAAGAATACCGAAGTAATGGAAAAATGTCGGCGAGGCGAAAGGCAGAGCCCACAATGCACAACGCACAACGGGGGAAAACGTACATAAACAATGAGCGCTCTTGTGGTGTCATAAAAGTTCAGCTTCAGGATGTTCTTCATGAAGTTAAGTTCCTTGTGACACCATTCCTTCTTCACATTGGTTATGCTGTGGTGAGAAAAAAAAAAAATAAAATAAAGAAAGGGGGGGTGAAACAGATGCACACGTGAAAGCTGCTTCAATTGACGATTGAACGGCGAGGAGACAGTTAAAGGAGGCTTCAACGAGGTGTATCCGGACACACTCAGCTGGGTTTTCCTCGCTTCCCTGCTTTGCTCCTCCCCCTTGGCGCCAATACGTGTATCCTCCCTTACGTCCTGTTCTTCTTATAGGCAGAGCTGTACTTATTCAGGATGTAGTCATTCTTGTGCACCTTTGGAGTCTCCTCCAGAATGCCGTCTTCATTGTTGGAGCTGTAGCACCGGACCGTGGTGTTCATGTGGTTACTATCCAGACTGGTGTTGTGAAATATCTTTTCCGAGCTGTTAAAATTCGCTCCAGAGGAATCCTCCACGTTGTTCTGCTCCTCATTGTTGTAACTGTAAATATGGATTATTAACTTCTTGTTGTCGTTTTTATCAATGTATAGATCGATTAGCATCAGTGGGTAGCTGAAGATGATGAGTGCTTGATTCACGTGACTGTTCGAAGGGATGCACAGCAGGAAGTTCGTGCTGTCCTCGATGTAGTAGCAGTTGAACTGAGCAGGGGAAGAAGAAAAAAAAAGGGGGGTATAGCCGTTACAGGTTAGGTTAGCGTTGCGGAAAAGTTATAAGACGGTGCAGTTACGCGAATGGGCAATAATGGGGATATCGTAGCACAATCGCAAGCAACCAAAATGGCAATCCCGCACAAACGTAAGCACACAAGACTGAGGAGACAACCGCCAGCACTGACGGCACCGCTCCAATCGGAGCAAAGTCGAATTACAATTTTGTTGCTATTCTTCAGGTAGCACTTGATGGTGTTCTTGTTCTTTATGTCGATCAGCGCCGACATGTCGTTGTAGTTAAAATCGAAGGGAATGGTATGATCCTGTTCGCTGCAGGGGGGGAAGGGGGGAGGGGATGGAAATGTCCCTTCGTTTGTTTTGTTTTGTCACGCTTCGTCTTTTTCAGTTTTGTTTTGTTTTCTTTTTTTTTATTACCTTTTCGCGAAGGAAAGAATTCTCTGCAGTTTGCTAGACACTCCGTCTAGGACGAACAGGGCCTGACAAAGTGGAAAAGAAGAGAGCGGTGAAAAGGAGGGGAAGGAATGTGCATCAGAGGGATCAACGCTTGGACAAACACGCATCCTGGTGAAGGGGTTCACGGTATCAACCCCATAAGTCACCCTCGCGCTGTCTTCATCGCCGCCGCCACTGAAGCCCTACATGCACATTCCTTCGATATATTTCAATCTGCGAAACGGGGTAGCACAGGAAGTTGTTGTCGCCGGACTCTGCAAAAAGGTGAAGAAAAATACAAAAAATAAAATAAATAAAATAAAGCAAAATAAAGCAAAATAGATAAATTAACTTAACACACAGGTGGCATCCTCGCTCGCTTGCACTCCCCCCCTGGACGACATACCATCCACGTCATTCACGATGTTTATGAGGACGGAGTCACGGCAAATGTTAATCTTCTCCTGAAAGCAGTTCTCGTATATTTTCCTTTCCTCCTGCGGGGTAGAAAAAAGAACAAGCCATGCGATGGGTGGACGAGCATATGGTGATCCGCGGCAGGGACTGGCCCAACAGGAGACCACACCGAGAGTGTTACCCAAAAGATCTGGCACACTTTGTACTCCATCTTCCCAATGATGCTCTTGATTTTGTTGGCTAGCTTTTTCTTGATCTGCAAGGCGAGGGGGAGGTGCGCATGTGGGTAGACGCTACTAAGTAACCGCGACTGAGTAGTCGTCACTACGTAGTTGCGTGTGGTTAGAGCCGCACATCCGCACAGTTTCGCATATGTTTTGTTCCACTCTGGCGGCCTCTTCACACCGCTACGTGTCGAACCTTCCGAATAAGTCCCAGCAGCGGGGACGCGAAATCGACGCACACACGCTCGTCCTCTATCATCTCAATATAGACCAATGTCAAATTGATTAGCAGCTTCAACGTTATAATTCGAAGGTACAGATTATTTATGTGGACATTTATGATGCTCCAAAAGACGTAGACAAAATTGTGATGAGATATCTTAAAAAATGGGATGACCATATCGCTGATTTTTCCATGGTACGATTTCACAAAATTTGAAACGAACTGGATGCTTAGGAGGAGGTACACGTCTGATATTTTATTCTTCATGTTGTCCTTTTCGCATTTTTTTATATTTTTTTCCTTCTGCATGTTCGTCAGCAGCAGGAAGTTTAGCAGCATGGGGTTGCTCAGCTCGTCGTACTTCATCATCGCCTCGGGGGCTGCTGTGCTGACGATCGGATTGGAGCTTTCCATAGCGGGGGTGCCTTCATCCCGTCCGCCCGGAATGCAACCCATTGACCGCTGCTCAGAGGTCGCTTCAGCGTCGTCCGAAGCCGCTTCAACTCCGTCCGAGGCCACTCCACCCCCCTTGGAAGGCTTCCCCTCCGCCATATAGTAACGGTTTACCAAATCCAGGTAAGCCATCTCCTCCTTCTTGTTATACTCAGGCAGTAAATAATCAATAGAGGAGCAATACACATCTTCAAATTCCACATCGTCAGTGGGATTCTCACTGATATTGACTTTCTTATGCGGATCAAAGAAGTAGCTGTAAAAGTAGGGATCCTTCAGATCATTGGATAAAATCTTGTGTAAAAATTGCACGTTAATGTATTCGCCAAAAATGAGAGAGTAAACGATTTTATTCAATTTCTCGTTTTTCAATATACTCAGTGATCGTATCAGAATAAAGAGAGATAAGGTGGTGTTGATTAGGTAGTTATACAGGATGGAGAAGTTCTTAAAAGAGTTAACGTAACAGAGAGGGTGAAAGAGGAGACCCAGTTTGAAGATATTATAATACACATCTGTGATGCTCATTTTGTTTTCATAATGCTGGAGGACCTTCTTTGTGAAGGAGTTAAAATTGAAGATGTAATTGTACAGGTTGCTGCTAACATTATCGTCGAAGGTGATTCTCTTTTGTAGAGTCGGGATTTCCACGTGGCACAGGTGAGTCAAGTTATGCCTCTGGACTTGTTCCCAGAAGGCACCGCCCTGCATCAGCAGCTGCGCTTCGTCTAACTCTTCCTCTCCGCCCGTGCAGGTATTCCCACCCCCAATCCCGCAACTGGAAGTATTGCCCCGTCTTTTTTTCTTGTGAAGAACCCCGTTCATCGAGGTCATCTGGATGAAAATTTTCTTCTTCTTTCTTTTTCTGAAGTAGCTGTCTTTTAGCTCATTTTCCTTGATGAACTTCCCGTCCTTTTTCTCACCATCCTTTTGCACTTCTCCCTGTGCATGCCCCTCACTGTCCAGGTCCTTCTCCTCTTTCTCTTCTTTCTCTTCCTTTCCCCCCTCGGGGGGCTTATCTTCTGCCGCCCTTTCCTTATTGGAGCTTCTCCTTCCTCTGAAGTATAGGAACTCGTAGGTGTTGTCTCCCCTCTTGGCGCTTTTCTTCGTGCTGGTTGGCGCCTCCTCCTGGGTTGGCACTTCAACCTGGGTTGTCGATTCCTCCTTGGTTGGCAACTCCTCCTTCGTTGGCGACTCCTCCTTGGTTGGCAACTCCTCCTTGGTTGGCAACTCCTCCTTGGTTGGCAACTCCTCCTTGGTTGGCGACTCCTCCTTGGTTGGCGACTCCTCCTTGGTTGACGCTTCTTGAGGCTCCGATCTCGCAACCTTCTCCATTTCGACGTTGCTCACATTTGAGTTCATGGAGGACGTATTGGAGGAAGACAAACTTTTGCAAAAGTCGAAATTCTTTGCCTTTTTTAAATTGTTATCGAATAGCTTTATAAATGGCACACGGTTAGTACCCTTTATGCTTTCTATGACTTCCTGGGGGGGGTCACCTTCGTTCAGCTTCTCTGCCTTCTCTGGCATCTCTGCCTTCTCTGGCATCTCTGCCTTCTCTGGGTGCTCCGCCTCCTCCCCCTCGCAGGGTCTGTTTTCTCTTGGATGATCAGCGAGGGGAACTTCTTCCTCTTTCGAAAGGTCATCTGTGGGGACTTCCTCTTCATTCGCCTCACTATCTGCGGGAACGTCCCCCCCCCGTGTGTCTTCTCTCCCAGCTGAAGCAGCCTTCTCCTCGCGGCTCTTCTGATTGGAGAAATAGACATAGTCTATGCTGTTGTACTTCACGGGGGTACTACAGTTTGCTTCTTGGCCTTCCTTGCGGAAGAACCCTTCCTCTTGGATGGCTGTCCCTTGGAAGTCACCCCCTTGGAAGTCACCCCCTTGGAAGTCACCCCCTTGGAAGTCACCCTCCTTTCCGTTTCCGTTACCACTTCTATTACCATTACTGTTACCACTTCCGTTACCATTACTGTTACCACTTCCGTCATCGTTACCGCTTCCGCTCTCGTTTCCCCCCCCCGAGTCGCCTTCGCAGATGCCGCCTTTCCCATACGCACTCACAGAGTCGAAGTATATAGAGCTGTGAAAGGAGCCAATCATAGGAAAGAAAAAATAAATCAACAGCTTAACCATCAGCATGTCATTTATCCTTTTCTTCTCACAGTTCAGCATGTCCTCGAAAAAGTACAACACGTCATCCACTTCGTCCAGGTAAGTATTAAACATTTTTTTCAATTTTTCCGACTCTTTTATTTTTGTGTAAATTTTATTCATCCTTATGATGTGATTGCGCAGATAGCAAACCAGGATGGTGAAGAATGCCGACCGCAGGAGGATAAGGTTTTCAATCCCCTCGTCTTCGACTGCGAGGAGAGGGGTGAATGGAGTGATCGGGGGTGGATGAAGTGATCGGGGGTGGATGAAGTGAGCGGGGATGGATGTGAGTGATATGTGGACACTCACGTGGAGCCGAATGGCAACTCCCTCGGATGAGCTGAAGCCCATATAAGCAAGAAGGAGCCATGGATTCTCGCTTCTGCTAGACTTACTCTTCAAAATGTTCAATATAATATTTTTAACGTAGGTTCGCGTGATGATGTCGTTAAACTTGTACAACCTCAGCGACTCGGTGTAGAGAGGAAATTTCATACTCTTCTTCGTGGAAGGGAGAAAAAAAAAAAAAAAAAAAAAAGCGGAAATGTGGGGGGATGTTAACGTTGGGATGGTGGAGCACATGAGGGTGCCAACGGGGCGGCGTATGCACACGAGTAATAAGAAGATGGCGTTCGTCGCGCTGCAGGTCGCCCCGCACGTCACACTGCAGATCCCTCTGCACGCCGCTCTACACATCGCCGCTTTTCTTACCTCGTTAAAGAAGAACTTGGACGTGTGATAGTTAAGGAAAAACGAAATGGACTTTATCATGGAGATGTAGTAGGGCATAATCTCATCGTCTTGATATATGAACGTCGTGTAAATTAGGTTGTTGATTTTGTTGTTGCTGAAGATGTAATCTGCCAGGGGGAGGAGGAAGAGGAACTGTAACAGTGAAGAAGTCCTTGTGAATCTTTTTTTTTTCGCTCCTTTTCGTGCTTCTCCCCATGGATAGCACCGTTGGGGGCCAAATCCTTACACAGAGAAATATCCTTTTGCAGGTTTTGTATCAGGAGGGTGAGCGACTGGTATATTTGTATCCTTATATTTTTGTTAATGTTTTGCCTCAGCAGGTATATGAAGTGGTTGAAGATGTTGTCTTCGCAGAAGTACCTTTGAGGGGGAAGGGGCACGCGGGTGAGGAGCTACATAGGGGAGCGGGTACACAGGGGGGCAGTTACACAGGGGGGCCTCTCCACATGAACACTTCGCAGGAGGAGGAGCTCTTGTCCCCCTATCGGGGACCCCTCCCGCCACGGTCTCCCCCCCTGGTTCTGTTTTTTTCCCGCTTCTCCTTACTGAAATATCTGGTCATCATATTTGTCGCCCCAAATTGTTATCTGCGTGATTTTCCGCAACAGCTCGATGAAGTTGTTTATGTTGACATTGTTCAGGTTTATCTTCACCAGCTTTTCGAAGTAGTACCTACAGGGAAGGAGGAGGCGGTGCGGACATGGTTAGGATATGCGGCGGACATGGTTCGGACATGGTGCAGACATGGTGAGGACACGATGAACACTCCGTGGGGACACCATGCGGACACGCTGCCTGAACGTGGCCACACTGTGTGCACCCCCCACTCGCCTACCTCAAGTCCTCGTGCGTATAAACCTCCTTCTCATTTTTGTTGTTCTTCAGCTTGTCGTCCAAATTATTGAAGTTGAATACATTCCACATGTTCGCAACGGGAAAAAAAGGAAAAGAAAAAAAGAAAAAATTCTTCTTTTTTTTTCAATAATACGAACTTTCTAAAACGTTGTTATTCAGGCATACCCAAATTACAGGGCATGGAAAAGTCAACTTGATATGCATAATCTATGCTGTGTTGTTTATGTGCTCTTCTGGAGACATTCATGGTGAGCCAAACGTGTTTTTTTCCTTCTTCCCATTCCTTTGTGTTTGCTTCCTCGTCTTCTCACTGAACGTGGCACATGTACGTCGGAATTACATGCTATGCGCATCTGTATTCACGTTCGTAAACTATGTTTCAGGCCTTTTTTTTTTTTTACTCGCTTTTTTATTTCTGCTTGTTTTTCTGTTCCGCTTTTTCCTTTTTTTTCCTTTCCTAACAACTACACGGGGGATAGTTGCTGCGAAAAAAAAAAATTTTTTTTTTTGGCTTGCCTTGGGTTGTCCGCTCGTACATTTTGCCCCACCTTGGCGTTTTTGTCACCTGACGCGCCTCTGTGGCCCTTTTTGTGGTCCTTTCGTGGTCTTTCTCTGCCCCCCTTCTTGCCCATTTTTTTCTGCAACTCCGCGTTACAATTGTTTTCCGTTTTTACTCTTTTTTTTTTTTTTCGAAAGGATAAACACACATTTCCTTACGAGCGAGTAGCTTTCTGCTAAGGCACGTAGTCTTGGCGAATGAAAACGGAGAAAGGAGCCCCCCAAAATAACCCGAAAATAAACAAAACCTACGGCGTATGCCCTTGTACGGAATTTCAGCTGTAGCTGTTTAGGCACGGGGGCACCTGCGGGGGGGAGCTTGATCGTAACCATAGCCGTGGCCGTAGTCAGGGCAGTAATAGTGGCAGTAATCGCGCCCCTAGATGTAGAAGTAGTCGCAGCAATAATCGCAACTGCTACCACAGCGGCACCTCCAGTTGCAGCTGTTATTCTGAGAGCCCCTACCAATGAACAGGAACGCACAGAAGAAGGAGGAAGTTGTTACGGCAACCCCCCCCAATGAATCAGGTAAGCAGCTGAAAGGGAAATGCCACAGGCTCACAGCCCACATGTATAGAGGCGTGTGCGTGTGTACCTTCGCGTCAGAAGATTCCTCCGTATCGACTTCCTACCCTACGTATTCGCGAATGCGCCTCAAATGAATTCCTCCTTTTTGAACCTCTCATGACCAGGTGCAGGTGAAAAAATCAGCATTAACCCGAAAAAGAGGAACTACCAGGATTTGAAGGAAAATATGAGTAAGGACTAGCCTCTAAGTCTGGGCCCCTGCGGATGCGCCGTTTGGGCACATGTTACCATGTGTGTCTCCACGCATAACGCAACCGAGACATATTGTTTCCCCCCGCTTCCACCCCCCCCACGCAGACATAAAAAGCGTTTTGGCATTCATTCCGAGGAGCGTCCAGTTAAATGAGAAAAAAAATGCCTAAGAGACGATGAAAGGGATGGTCTTCTACATCACGGCGCTGTGTATCTTTTTGTGCAAATGTGCAGTGGGAGGCGATGGAAGGGTCGTAAACAGGAGCCCACGCGCAACTGTAATGTATGTAAAAGTCGTTTCCACTTGTCGACTCAGGAAAAGTACGCATAAAAGTACACAAAACGATAAGCAAATCAATACGCAAAAAAATGAGCTTAAAAATGAAGTCTATACAAGCGCGCTTAGCTATAATGTGCACCTCCCAAGCAGTTTAAATATTTCAAGTGTAAACTTGGATGACGGCGTCCTCCACGTTGGGAACCTCCCTCTTAGCAGCTACAACATCGTTTCAGTTGACTATGGCTATAGTTTCATGGGTAAGGGCAGCGACCAAATGGCGCGTTCGCGTCAACGTAGAAAGAGCGTCGTGCATGTGACGTCGCGCGTTGAGCTCACCACGTGAATAAATGCTTCTCCGAATGGATGCTGCGCCGAATGGATGCCGCTCCAATTGCCTACTTGGCTCCCTAGCACCTCCGTAAAACCCACTCCCCGAACGCAGGCCTGTGTGTGCGATGTAAGAACAAATATATATACGAGAAAATCACCGCAAGATATAAGCATCTAATTTACAACAAGGAGTTTGACGTACCCCTCAAGGAAAATGTCATTCTGTTTTATGCCCTGTACTTTAATGGCTACATTTATAATTTTTTTTCCTTTTTCCATTACCTGTTTGAATGCATATATGACAGCAATGTGATCGTTCTCATCGGATGCAACGGGTAACCGAGCGCACGAGAGGGAGGAGTCTGCTGCGCCAGTTCCAGCATGTATGAACTGGCGCACAGTTTACCTGATCAGATTTCTTTGTGCACGGAGATAAGGATGCCGTTTCTAACGTGTCGTGTAGGGGTCACATGGAATGCCCATTCGTTCAAGTGCTGCCGAAGCACACTTGCATATACCACACTAATATATACCCATACACACATTCACATACGCGTGGGAGGAATCTTTTACTTTTACAGACCGCACATGAACATTCTGGCAAGCGATATGGGAAGACACCTGTGCTATTTTATGAACGAGGTGAATGGCGAGAGAAAATATCCCCTGGAGAACGGCGCAAGAAGAATTCCCTTCGAAGTGAAAAACGAATTGATCACATTCAAAAATAGCAATATTTATAAAAAACAACAGAATCATTTTGTGGAAAAATATCGTATCATGTTGAGCAAAGAAAATCCAAAGGTGGAAAACAAAACGGACACTTATTTAAACTTCTCATTAAAAAATATGGTGACCAAAGTGAAGGATCAAAATAATACTTTATTTTCAAAATTTTACAACAAAAATTGTGCAGGAAGAAAGGATGCCCCATCTGCTTGCTATCTGCTGGACTACTTTTGTAACTACTATGAGAGTAGTGGCAGTTTTTTTCTGTTGCCCTCCAGGAATGTCAATTATGTATACCATGTAAAGAAGTGAACCCCGGAGTATAGCGTTCTCGCTGCGTGTCGAGTATCTGCCCCCATGTGGAGGGAGAGTCATTTACACACGAATGTGCAGCATGTGCGAATGTGTACACCTCTACGTATGATCCACGCTTGTACATAGACTATGCATATGCGCCATTGCATAAATACGTTGTAGACCACTTCGGATGCGCGATATTCCAATTGGTGTAAAATTATGCCCCACGGCAATTTTATTTTTTCGCCTCTTCGTACAGGTGACAAAAATTTGAAGCGTCATCCAGCAGGTGCCAGTGTCGCCTTTTTATTCGTTCGTTAGGCTCAGCTGCCTAGACGCTGGCTAGCTCGTTTATTTTTATTTATTTGTTTTTTTTTTTTTTTGCAAATTTTTTTTTGAAATGGCTGACTTGTTCATATTTTTTTCTTTGCAACATTTTTGATTTCCCCTTTTTTTGGGTAGCAAAGGGAAGATTTGCTTTTAATTTTTTTTTTGTAAAGTATATGTGAAGTTTCTCTATGCAAGCTGAGAATTTGCCGCGTCACGCGGGGGTAACATATGTTACATAAAGATGCGCCACTACTATCGTCACTTTGCTACTACCGTGCGAGTGAGTTGTTTAAACCTCGTTTTTGTCAAAGGAGAAACTGCACTTTGGAAAGAAGAAAAAAAAAATAAACAAGGATGACGTAGCTCCCTAACCTGTTCATACAATTTTGAAAAAAAAAAAAGAAAAGAAACAGGCAGCAGGGGTGGAAAATGCTAAGACGGCAAAAAGAAGGTACATCGTTTTCACGCCCTTTTTGAAGTGAGGCGACGGAATATATTATCAGTCATATGCCCTTGGATCGCAGCCCCCCGTCCGCATAGTTCTGCCTCACCCAAAGCTACAATGACAAAATGGTAGAAATCAACGAAATTGAGTTTATCGAAGAACCGGAGTACTTCAAACTCCAACATGGGTCTTGCTTCTGCATGGTGGAGGAGGAAAAGAAACGAAAGGAAAACTTCTCCATCGAGGAAAAAAAACTAGCGAACAGCAATTTCACGATAAGCAATGCTAAGCAGAAGGGCCTCTACGTTTTTAATAAAAATTTAAACGTTTTTTCCCTATCGGACTTTCTGTACAAAATTGACAATGAAGGCAGCAAGGACAGCAGTGACAAAATAAACATAAAATCGCAGCCCTTCGGGGAAAATGTCCTCTTAATTGAGAACAACAAGACGGACACGGAGGCCTTTTTGTACACCGACCAGCAGAATATTTACCTGTTTGACTATGGCAGCGAGAAGGTCAAGCTCCACTGCCGGGTGGACATCCCGGTGCGGGGGTTCAAGCATATAGGTATACAGCATACGGGGCGTTGCAGCGTTGCCATATGCCCCCTTGCGCTTACACATAACATTTGAGTGTATGCCCCCCTGCGCTTACCTGTAACGTTTGAATAATGCTCCGCTGCACACTTCTTTGTCCCTCCCTCTCCCTCTAAGATGACCACCTGTTCCTCGTTCTGAGCGCCGACGAACGAGTGCACCTCATGAAGAACAAGCAACTGTACGAGTGCCAAGAGTGGACAGACCCAGTAAACAACATTGATGAGAAAAACGGAGTGTTCCTCTTCACGTACTCAAATAAAGAAGTGTTCATTTTGAAGGACAGTCAAAAAAGTAACACATACGACTTGAGGAACATAAGTGAAGAAATTGACATTTGCCATGAGAAATGCAATATAATGTGCGCAAAAATTTTAGAAGCCAAAAAAAACATGAGGACAGTCTTTCTCATGGTTTTGTACAAATACGAGGACGAACTAACCACCATTATGTATGACTTGCACATAGAGCAAGACAAAATAAAGAGAGTCACATACTCCACTAATGATTTTGATTTCCAGAATTTTGAAAACAATTTTGTCAAATGTATTTACATAAGCGAATGGCAGACGGTTGTAGCCATTTCCTCCGAGTCTTGCGAGGCGGTTGTTTACACCAGAAATGGGAACATGACTTGGGAGGGAAGCGCTTCTGATCCAATGATGTCACAGCCAAAAGCGGAAGAGTCGGACAACTACAGTGGGTTAAAATTCTTGAGCGTAATGGAAGGATACAAAATAAACACGCGAGAGTCGGAAACTTTTTTTCTCTCCCTTTTTATGTATAGCAAATACGAAGACAAAATCTATCGAAAGAGTAAAATAGGGAATGTCCCATTTTTGAAAAATCCCTGTGTCTTCTTTGCCCTCCAAGATAACCACAAAATTGTAGTAGAATATTTAGACAAGTACAAATTGGTAGACATCACGGATTTTGGTACCAGTGGGGTGGAGGAGGGAGATTCGAATGAATGCGGAATGAAAGAAGTGACTGTCCTTCCAGATTTGAAACAGGACGTGATAGAGGTGCACGAACCGCTCTCCTCCAATGTGTTTAATATATTCAAACTCAAGGAGAGGGTCCCCCTGAATAGAGTGGATCCAACCAAAGGGAAAGAAGCCAATGTGGAGACCAAAAAGGAAAGCTTCTTTGACCTTTTTCGCAGTAAGGTTAAGCTCACTGAGGAGAAAGCGGTGGATGGTAGTGTCAAAGGTACCGATAAGGAGGTACCTCCAGGGAAGGAAGCCACATGTGTCGTGGGGGAGCGAAGTGGCGTAAATGTCGAGATGGACGAAGGCTGTAGTAAAGAACCCCCTGTGCATGGTGACTCCTCCCATGCGAAGGATCGAAAGAACCAACTTGCCAAAGAACGGCAGCATCTGTACCGATGCATCCGAAGGAGCCCCAAAGTGTACGAAGATGAAAGCTTCATTGTGAACGAGGTACCCGAGGGGTTCAACAAGTTAATAAAAAGTGGAATCTACTTCTGTGAAGAATTTTTGAATCACTTGAATGTGCATTCCATAGAGAAAAGGAAAGGTACCAAAGTGGGTTCAAGGAAGAAGGAGTGCTATTACGACAAAGGGGTCGACAAAATTGTGTTCTTACGTGACAGTGCCATCGGGGAGGAGATAGACGAAGCGAATGTAGAAGACGATGAAGAGGGAAAGAAAAAAAAAAAAAAAATGCCAAAAAGGAGCAGCAGAAATGAATTTCACCACCATTTCCATTGCGAAGATTTTGACTTTTACAAACACAAGAAATTATCCGACCGTCAGTGCGAGAGGATTGTAAGAAAAATTCAGCGTAAGCAGGGTTTCCTGCGCGACATAAAAGGGATCTTCTTCAATGAGGAGGCAAACCCAAACGATGAAGGGAAGCGAAATGACCAATCTGAAAAGACTACCCTCCCCCCTCACAAAGACGAAACAACGAAAGATCCATTCAATAGGGACATTCAAATTCATATTTCAAATGAGGAGAGGAGCAAATTTTATCAACAATTAGATTCCTACTTTTCTAAAAGGAAACTCCTAAAAGTGAGGAAAGAAATTTTTAACGACTTAAAAAATGACCACCTTCAAAGCGGACACATCTTCGAAACGGTCCTCTACAACCTATTCAAGCAAGGTGGAATGAAACACTGTGAAGCGTTTATTTATTTTGTCTTAAAAAATCTGGACGTCAAGATATTCTCCAGTTCACTCTTCTTACTCGAGTTGTATTTTGTACATCTTCTCTACCCCTACTTCAACAAGAACAGAACAAATGCACTTAATGCGCTTCCATCTTATGGACAGAAAAGTGCACCAAGCATAAAGCATCCTTCGTTAAAAGACCTTTTAGGCCCCCCCAATAGTGGAGCCAACCGCTTAAGTCCTAACCTCAGTTATTGCGACAAGGAGGTGCCACCCCTGGAAAGCGAGTACAGCACAGATGATATATCAGAAGATGACCTATTAAAGAAAATAAAAAATGAGAAAGACTTTTCCAAAAAGAATGAGTACCTTGCGAAGGTGATTCCCTTGTTTAATGAACCCCCCAGCAGGGAAAGCCAATCCACTTCGTTCCATTTGGTGCACGCTGGAATCCACTTTGCGAACAAGAGGTTGTGCCACGCCCTTTCGCAGAAGCTCTTCCCGATTATGGTGGATAACAGCTTGAATAAGATGGACGACGAGTTGGGGCTAATCAAGAACTACCTCTTCGACGCCGTATTGGGAAGCAGCTAGGGGGGGGGAGACTCCAAGAAGGGAGAGACCCTCATAGGAGCACCACGTTATATGCGTGACACGGGTGTGTGTTATTTTCCCACTTTTTTTGTGCCCAATTTTTTGTCCTCGCTTTTCCTTCTTCCTGGCGAAGCCCTCATTTCGCCCAACCGACTCGTGCGACAGGTGAATTTGCCCCATATTACCGCTTCTTTCGTGTCTCCCCCGATCGCTACCATTGACCGCTCCCTTGCAGCCATTTTACAGCTCCCCCTTGGAGCCACCTCTTCAGACTTCGTATGGCCGAAAAGCTATTTCCGCCATCTTTAAAAAAGGGATTTTAAAAAAAATTAATTCGAACGGTAGTTTATTTGCAAATGGGTACACGTATTGAAAAGTAAAGCTTGCACAAAAAAAAAAAAAAAAAAAAAAAAAAAAAAAAAAAAAAAAAAAGGCGCTAGAGAAGGAGAGGCGAAAAAACGTCAGATGAGATGGGCGTCGGGCTGTAGACCACACATTGACGGCCATTCTGATAACATACCGATTTACCCCCTCCCTTCTCAAACCGCTTGACTGATCAAACTGCTCGGCTGACCAAATTGCTTGACTGCTCAACTGCTCACACTGCACTGTTGTGGTTGTTCCCCTTGTCCACCCCACCGCATGGTAAAAGATGCCGACACAGTTGGAAGAGCTCTTCCTTCGACTCGATGACATCCCTTTTTCTCTTCACAAAAATTTCTTTGTACCTTTTACCTATGCTAAAGTAATTTCTGTATGTCTTCCGATTTGTCTTACTATTGTGATTTTTCAATGACTCCGCGGCAAAGTAAACCAGCTGCGGGCTCTCCGCGCAGAGCTTCAGTATGCGATCCATTCGTTTTATGTTCTGAGGGATGTGGAAAAGGGAGTTACGGGAAGTAGGGGCAGATATGGGAAAATCAAACCAAGCGTTCAGACGCAGGGGCGCGGCCCAACGGGAGAGACGGGGTAGGGCGCCGCCCTACACCGCGTCCGCATACCCACGGGGGTACACCCCTCTCTTACCGTCAAAATGTTATTGCCCATGAACATGTTGGCTTGGAGTGCCAAGACGATGCACAGCAGTTCCGGCAGGCACATCTTAAAAAGTTTCTGCGAAGGGGGAGAAATGCACAAATGGAGGGGCCCATAAACGCGGGCATACACACACGTGTGTACAGAAGCGTGCATTCACATGCATACCAACGGGATGCTCCTTACCTGACCAATCCACGCCAGCTGCGCAGCGGAGTTTTTACTTAGCCACGTCGAAATTTGCACTAGGATGTGATAAGCGTTTTTTGTGTCCACCGGGTGTGGCCCGCTCGTCTGCACGGTGCAGTCATCCCCGTTCTGCTTCAACCTTCCATCACGGACGCGCAAGTTGGTCCCCCTTTTTTTCAAAATTGACCTCTTGAAATTTTCGTAGCGGCCGGGCAGGCACTCACTAAGGTAGCCATTGGGGGAGTCATTGAGGTCGCCATCGGGGTAGTCATGCGTTTTTTCCATTACGACGTCAGAGAGACAGTCCCGATCCGGCTGATTGCTCCACTGGTGGTCCTGCCAACAATCCGTGGGTGAATCTTTGGAGCTGTCTCCTACGTGTGATTCCTCTCCCTGGGAACACAATTTACCTGCGCGCTGAACACCGTAGGGAACTTTTTTATCCGTTTGTAACTCCACCCCGGATGAGAAGCCCTCGCTGCCGTGGCTTCCCTTGTTGGCCCTGTCACTAACATAGTTAACGTAGTACATGTGCATAGGTGCAGACAGCCCCATACGACTACAACTCACGGGTTCTTTTGTTTTCTTCTTTTTCTTCCTTCTTCGTTTTGCATCATTTCTGCCTTTCCCTTTGGAAAAATCGTACCCATTTATAACTCTGTAATGCTTGCGCAAAATTTTGCAGTTAAATAATGATCGCACGTAGGGGTAATGATGCTTCGGCTTGCTCATTGCAGGAGGGTCTTTATTGGTTCGCCTTCCCCGCGCGAGTCGGTTTAACTTGGCCGGGGAGATAAACAAATCTGCGCATATTATGATGCATACCGAGAGGGTGTACTGTATCTGTATGCTCAGAACAAGCGCGTGAAGGTAGAACATGTCGTCGTTGTTTTGTCCTTCCTCGTCCCAGTTAGTTTTCCCCCGGTAAGGACTAACGTAGGGACTACTCTCCCCACGCAAGTACAACCCAGGGGAAGCCCACTCCGAGGCTGCGCGACCTCCCGCAGGGGATCCACCCATCGCATCGCCAAAAGGAGAGCCCGAAAATAGGTTCTCTCCACCATCGCCGCTTAGAAAGCTGTTTGAAGCCCCATGGTAAGGCAACTCGTTGAGAAGCGTCATTCCCATCTTCCCCACATCTCCATTTGCATGTTCCGATGGGAGATAACTCGTCACTACCTCCCTCTCTTTAATATGAATGCCCAAATATTTCGAAGCGACCAACAACTGCTGCGCAGTTTTGAAATGCAAAATGGACGCGTGATCGTAATAGCCCTTGTACAGCTTAACACAGAGACAATAAAGAGACAAAACAACCCTATGCAGTTGCTGCATTTTACTCATCACTTTTTTTGTGATTACTTTTTCCTTCTTCTTTTTGAGCAGTATTTTTACATTCTTATTATTAAAAAGAATCAGCTTGACGATATTTTTTTTTTTCAGCAAGAACGGAATCAGGCGGTTGTATTTTCTAATCAAGAAATTGATCCATTTGTCGTATAGGTAGCATTTGTTCATGGTGTGCGCATGCAGAGTTGTTCGTTCGCACCTGCGGATGGCAGCTGCTCTGCTTTGCTCGATGCAGGAGGCTTCGACCGGTTTGCCACATGAGGGGTTGCCACAGGAGCGGTTCGCATCTGACGGGTTGCCACCTAACCGGTGGCTGCCTAACCCGTGGTTTCCTAACTGGGTGCCATGTTCCCGCTTCCGTTGCCCCCCATTTCGCAGAAACTCCCGCGAGAACTGCTTCAGCACGCTCTGCGCGCAGGTGTACTCATTCAGGAATATCAAAATGTGCGCGGCGTACGATACGCACCGCTGCTTGTACGTCAGCAAGGAAGCGGCACGCATCTCCATGTTCCACTCGCTTACACGCGTCACCCTCTCGCTGTCCCTCTCCCCCTCCTCCAGTTCACTAAAAATAGAAATCCACTTTAGCAGCTCATGCAAAATCTCCTTCAGCTCAAATTTGTAATATAAAATGCAAAAGTAAAAGTTGGCGATTTCCCATGCCATCAGTAGGAAGTTGTCGTCTTGAAACTTTCTCCTTCTTCCCCCCTCAGATGGGGGACTCGTACCCTCGGAAGAAATTTGGCCCCTCTGCATCTCCTTCACCATGTTAAACACAAAGGCATAGTTCCCTTTTATGAACTGGAAAATCTCATCATAGGAACAACCCAGAAAAAATTTGCAATTTATCGTTATCTGAATGTATTGAAGATACACCTGGTTCTTGTCTAGCCAAATGGAATTTACGTCACTCTCCATGATCTTACAAAACAAGTTTTTTTCTTTGAATTTTTTTTTTAACCTCCTCATGGAGCTAGCCAAATTTACGTACTGCTTTTCATATTCTTCATGCCACTGTATGTCGTATATTTTTAATCTACGCTTTAGCTGTCTAATCCAGTGATCGGTCTGATCCTCCATCGCAGCACTAGAGCGCCTTCCCAATTGGTCATTCACCCCCCTCTCGTAGTTATTGCTACCATCCATGTGCTGGTTCAGAAGTACCATCACTTGGCTTGGACTAGAATAGCCTCTTCCCAGATCCCACTTTTCATTCGTAGAGCCATTCAAAAAAGGTATCCCCGTTGATCCTTTTCCATTTTCCGTTTTGCTACTACCCATGTAGTTTGGAAAATATTTTTTTTTCTTCAAATGAAGAAAAGACGGAATTTCCTCCATTGACTGGTATACATGATAAATGCACTCGACTGCAGTTAAGAAGTGGGAGGTTAGCCTATCCTTCGAGTGGTCCCTTTTTTCGAGCTTACAGAGGATTCTATGTTTACGCAAGTTTTCCTTGTCTAGCTCTCCCTTCGGGAGCCACTCGTGGGACCCCAAACCGTTGGGTGCTTCTTCCATGGATGTCTCCAGAGGGGGCCCTTCTACCGTTGTGCCCCTTCTTCTGTCACCACCAAGGCCAACTACTCCGACTACGTCTTCTTCACCATTTGGTGTAATTCCCTCCTTGGACCCGAACGTCGCCCAGTATCTCCTCAACACGGAGCAATTCCGCCTCTGCAATGCGGAAAATCTCTTCACGTTTTTGCTAATCGTTTCTATCTTTGCATAGTTGGCATTCAGATTGTCGTCGCGCAACAGGCTATTTTTCTCCAGGCCTATATTATACAGGAGATTGTTCAGCTCGTAAAAGTTCTGGGAAAAGATCCTTTCCACCCAAATCCACACGTTATAGTAGTTGTCATAGATCCTCTGGGGCGGGGGCACCACGGCGCGCACGTTCGCAGGGAAGGAAGCGCTAGCGGTAGCGTCTAGTTCGCTGCCCAAGTCGTCGCAGACTTCACCGCAGACCTCGCCGCTTCCGCTAACCACACCGCTTCCTCCAGTGTGCGCCCGCACGGACAAGCCGATGAATCTCTTCTGCGCGAAGTTTAGAAACACGCGGAAAAACTTCCTAATGATTAGCACATTCTCCACGGAGTACTCCCCAAACGCATACACCAAGTTGAAGATCTCGATAACAATATGGCACAACATTTTTTCTAAGTGGCTCCTAGTATGGTACTGCACAATGGAGTCAATTTTTTTACTCCTAAAGAGGAAGAATCTTTCCCCTTTATTATCCTCCTGTTGGTTCTCACTCTCCGTTTTGGGAATGTCCTTCGCATGCCACGCGTCAAGACAACTACTCCTTGGACGCATCGAGTGGTTCTCCACTTTAGTGATGCATTTGGCTGTCCTCAGAATGCTCAGCCTCCGCTTCACATTCTTCTCGTACGTCATTCTTCTCCTCTTCGTTCGCTCACAGAGGTATTCCTCTTCACTTCGTTTTCTCTGGTGCAGGGATTCGGAAAATCGCTGCTTTTTTGAGGTATAATTGGAGTGGTTACTAGGCCTCCTTTGGCTACCTCCCCTAGTTTGTCGGCTGCTAAGATTGCTTTGCTGATCACCTTCCCCAGTTTGGCGGCTGATAAGACTCCTTTCATGGTGATCTTCCCTGCTTTGGAGGCCCCCCCTGATTTCATTCCTCACGCGACACAGCTTCCTCTTTCTCCTTCTCCGCCTCTCCTCCTCGACCCCCCGTTCACGGGCTCTCTTTCGAAACAAGTCCAAATAGTATACAAGGTTGTTCCTTTCGACATACTCACTCAAGTTTTGGCTCACGGTGATGTACGAAGCCAAGGCCAGGAAAATCACATCCAGAATTGTCATTTCTTTACCCACGTGGTCATTCTTTAAGTACTCACACCGGGATTTCATCGCACTGGAGGATAACTCTCCATTCCCAGAGGTCAATATTTTGCAAAAAAACTCGTGCTCAAACATCAAGATGGGGGTTCCATTTTTCTCTGAATTAATTATAGACGAATTCAGCAGAATGGCAATACAGAATTTTTCGAATAAAACACAGCTGTGAAAAAAGCACTTCCATTTGTTATGGGTAAAAATGTAGCATACTATTTGGGAGACGATTATTAGTATGGCTATGTCTAAGAGGGGCCAATCTGATGGGCAGTTGTCGACAATTTGCTGCATGTAATGAGACACTTTTTTTTCCCTCTGCTTCGGTGCACCAGATGCACTACACACAGAACTATTCTTCGGCTCGTCTGCTCGGTTCGGCGGGACTGCTCCGTTCGGCTCGACTGCTAGGCTCGCCTCATCTACTCGGCTCAGCTCATCTGCTGGGTTCGCATCTCCTCCGCCGAGGGGGGAAAAATCGGCGCACGTGCTCGTGTCACTCCTCTCCACGTCTACGAACTGCATGTATAACTCCTCCTCCTTCTCGAAAATTAAGAGCATCAACTTTTGGGCCAGCTCGAAATTATCGTTGTCTATTATCTGCAGGATCAGGCCCATCCACTCGTGTTCACGGAAGACGGATTCCGCATGCTTAGAGGCGGG